CCCCTCCTCCTCCCCCTTCCTCTCCTCTCTCCTCAACCCCCTCTTCTCCCTTCTTCCCACTCCCTCCTCCCTCTCCCCTCCCTTCTCCCCCTCTCCTCCCCCCTCCCTCCCCCCACAGACGGTCTGACTCCTCTGATGCTGGCCTCCATTCGAGGAGGCGGGCTGGGAGAGGACGACGACAGCAACTCGGGCTCGGGCTCGGCCGAGGGCGGCGACAGCGACAATAACACGTCGGTCGACGTCATATCCAGCCTGCTCATGCAGGGCGCGGCCATCAACGCACAGACGGAGAGGACAGGTGTGTAATGTGCTGTGTTTTGTGTGTTGTGTGTAATGTGTTGGACATTTTCTCTAGTCTGCTATTGTATGGCTGGCGCGGCCATTAACGCACAGACGCTGTGTGTTTTGTGTGGAATGTGTTGTGCTGTGGTGTGGTATTGTGTGTTGTGTGTCATATTGTTGTATTTTGTGTGCAGCTGAAGTCATTTCTTTTTTTCTTTTTTTTTTAATTGATAAGATGAATATTTAGAGAAATTGTCTTTTGGTCGGAACACAACGTTCTGTTGCTGTTGTACTGTATTGTAAAACACTCACAGTCTGTGTACTTTAGCTGGGGTTGAGTGCTATATAAATGTCATTTATTGTTACAGGTGTGTACTTTAGCTGGGGTTGAGTGCTATATAAATGTCATTTATTATTACAGGTGTGTACTTTAGTTTGGGATGAGCGCTATATAAATGTCATTTATTGCTACAGGTGAGACCTCCCTCCATCTGGCGGCCCGCTACGCCCGGGCCGACGCGGCCAAGGTACTGCTCGACGCAGGGGCCGAGCCCAACGCAGAAGACAGCACGGGGAGAACGCCGCTACACACTGCGGTGGCCGCCGACGCACAGGGCGTGTTCCAGGTGCGTTGATTGGGTTGTTGATTGAGTCTTCTTCTTTCCTTTTAAATATATACATGCGATTCATATGGGATCTAGGTTGTGTAAGAATAATTTTAGTTGATTTATAATAATATCGAAGAAGAAGTGGCCACCTTTTATAATATTGAAGAGAGAAACGGCCATCTTACGGTCGGATCATAACGTAAAACAGAGGCTTACAAGGGGAGAAATGGGAAGCGGCCGTTTGTACAGGTGGTTGTCTTCTACAGGATATTCTTATACGGGTGGCCATTTGTGCAGGTGGTTGTCTTCTACAGGAGATTGTCTTATACGGGTGGCCATTTGTACAGGTGGTTGTCTTCTACAGGTGGTTGTCTTATACGGGTGGCCATTTGTACAGGTGGTTGTCTTCTACAGGAGATTGTCTTATACGGGTGGCCATTTGTACAGGTGGTTGTCTTATACAGGGCATCCATTACAGCAGGTCTGACTGTATTATTATTATTATTAATATTATTATTATTATTATTCTCATTAATGTTATTATTAGGCCTATTATTATTCTTATTATTATTCTTCTCATTATTATTATTATTATTTTTGTTTTGTTTTTTGCTACTGTTATTCTTGTTTTCATTTGTGTACAGATCCTGCTTCGTAACCGCTCCACCAACCTGAATGCCCGCATGCACTGTGGAGGCACGCCGCTCATCCTGGCATGTCGCCTGGCGATCGAGGACACGGTGGAGGAGCTCATCTCGGCCGACGCTGACATTGAGGCCACGGACAATAATGGTGGGTGGTTGGCGGGTGCTCTGGCTCGTGTGATTTGCTCCTTCTTTCCTATCAAACATCTGTTGTCCTTGTCTCCCAGTTGTCTGAAATTTTGAATATTGAAATAATGGGCATATTCAAAACTCAAAGTTTGGAGAAAAACTCAATTTTTAGCACATTTTTAACCTTTGATGAAGTGCAGCATGTTGCAAAAATAACTAATAACAAAATATTTAGACTTAAAACTTTTTAAAAATCCTGTCAATGTGTTATTGAGAAATGGTTAAAGGTGTGTGTTCTGATGGAACGAAATTTTTGACCGGGTACAACTTTTTTGACCTTTTCACCCCGTTGCTCAAAAATAGCATTGCCCACAACTGGGATCTGTCTCCCGACACTTACACACACACGCACACACACACACACACACA